TTAATGAAAACACATGAGAATTTTAAGAACTGGTTGCTTCTTCATTATGCTGGACATTTAGCTACACCTGTGCAGTTGTTCTAAGAACTGCAGTTTCTTTACTGTTAAAAGCTATACCCTGAGTGAAATGACAGACTGTAGATATTCCCTATGTGGAAGGAATTGGCAATAGGGTGGGAGGCTGGGGGAGATAGTGGGGGGGTGCGGGAGGCAGGGAGGGAGAGGGTACTGTTATTGACATGTAAAAAAAATAAAGAAAAAAAAAGCTATTGGTTAACCCATACAGATTTGTCTGTCAACCATTTTACAGGTAGGCCAATGGAGCCTTTGAAAGATTAGCGGTTGTTGCACCCTGTTCATGTACAACCTGAATATGTTGTTATTGTTTTTATAATACCTTCTAAATATTTTCAAAGAAACATAAGTCAACTTATGATTTGTTTCTGTGATAGGAATGTTAATCTGAGTATCCCTTTGTTGTAACAAATCATGTCCCCAAACATTCTTTACTATGATTAGTCACATAAGGCTTTAATTTTTCTCTATGTCCTGGTCTGATATACATGACCCATCTGACACTCTGTTTTGCCAGAGATAAAATTCCAATCCCTAAAAGCTGAACATTTGCTCCCTGAGGAGGACTGTTTGAATGCCATGATTCTAGTGCAAATATTTCTACATCTGAAACTGTGTCTACAGAACCTTCAAAGACAATATCATTGATTTGTATTTTTAATTTTGGTTTTTGTTCACTTATAGAAATTTTCCAAAATATTGGCTTTATGGATTCACCTGAATTTTTTTGTTCTCTCTTCTATAGGTTTTCTATAATCGAAAGCAGTATATTATTTTACAACACGCATTATTTAATTGCACTGGGAAGGAATTTTCTCCATGGTTACAGGAAACATCTGAACTAAATTGTCTATGGGTGCTTTTGAGGGGCCCCTCAATGCATTTCCCTTTGACAAAGGGTTACCCTGACTGTCCCTTTTTGACCTACATTAATTTGTTCAATCCCTGCCTTTGTAAAACCTATATCATTTTCTGAAGTGAGAGAGGTTCTGTTTGAATTATGCTTAGAAAAAATAACATTGTTTCTAGGATTTCTTGGCTACGTCTGTTGGTAGCGCATGATACACTTATTCTCAGAGTCATGGGTTAATGCCTCATATGGGGCACCAAGGTGTAGCACAAGTTCTACTATGTCTTAATAATAGAAGCCCAGAGTCAAATATTAGGTGTTGAAATCTGAACGATCAATGAATCAGCAAATCCCTAGAGCTCTAACATCTATGAGATCCTCATGTTGAAAAGAGAGGGAGATCCTGTCACCTCCCATCTATATTCCACTCTCTGCCCAACCATCTCACTTCTTGTTGGTTTGTACAGACGTCTAGACCTCTATGGTAAACCAGTAGCTACCTCTGCCTTCTGGTATTCAGGCAAGTTATATTTTTATTGTATAAACAAGATATCACCACGAGAGCCACTCTTATTCTTCATTCCTGGATTCTGGCACACAGATCATCAACTGCATGCCTCTGGTTAATTAATTCTGAACCAAAACTACCTATGTCACTGCTGCTCCCCAAACTTTACTTGGGATACAGACTGCTAATCCTGTGTTTCTGGAGATCTTCTTTCAATCTGACATTATGCACACAGTTTAAGGCCTAGGATCCATTATAAATTTCCTATACATGCTTTCAGTTTAGTTACCCAAATCCCAGCTTGCCTAAGCTATTATTATTCTTCCAACCATGCCTCAAGTGGACATATCATCTACCAGCTTTCAATGGTGAGATCCACAGATCTTTGCCTCACAGTGTAATGCTCACCCTTCCATTCCTGTCTCCATTAACATAGCTCCTTCACTGGATTCCTTGAGAGGCCACATTGAAAATCCTGCATTTTCAATTTCCGTGCAAAGAGGCCCACATAAGTGTGTGCAGATACACAATTGATTTACTTTCCCAGGAAGTATGAACTTTGCCCCCTAGGAGTATATGCTACTAATAGGCCCTGAACAAATCAAACCACTTTATCTTCTAGAAAGCCCTTTTGACAGTTTCCGAGTCAAGCCCACTTTTGTAGTTTCCACAGTACCAGGGATATCTATGAATATCCATTTTGCCACCTCCTTTTTCTTGTCCCTTCCCATTAACATTTTTTGCCTGGGTCACCATATCACAGATTGGCCTAATTTTAATGACACATGTAATGTTCATGATTTCTTTATCATGACCAAGATTACCTATGCTAATATCACATTCCACAGTATTCCTGTAGATTTACAGGTTATATATTGGACTTGGATATTGAACTCCCCCATATCTCAGCTGGCAGGGACTTCACCACATTTCTGTGGTTGCTCTGTTGATTTAGATCCTGTGCAGCATTTCATGGTAAATTCCTGCAAGAAACAAGATCCCCATTTTCTATGTTCATTATCCCTGGCAAATGTTTGTATATTTGTATTTTGTTGGCTTTTGTTGTTATTTTGAACAAATTGCTTTTCTTGTTCAAATACACTGAATCTTGCCTGCTACAATTCTGTACTCACTCCCATGCCTACCTCTCTCCATGCAGGGCTAGCAATAGCTTCCCTTGGTAGTTATTCCATGATAAGCAGACTTGTTAAATTGCTATAGTCTAATACCCATATCTGAATGCCTAGATTAAGGATTCATCTTGAGTTGTGGCACTCACCTCAAACTAACTTTCATCAGCCATTATGTCATTCTCAGCCATAGCTAATGTCATGCTGGTTTGGCAAAAGTTTTCCCAAGCGATGCATTCTGGAACTAAGTATATATGTGCCATGTGCAAACTCCAAGAACTGCATTAGGATGAACAGACCACACTTCAGGCTAGCCTGAGTATGCTTCTCTGAACTTTACCTTCCAGTGTCATGCTCATACTCCCTTGTCTAGTTCTCTAGCTCATAGTACACAGATTCCCTAACAGCTTTGATTTTGAGCTCCAAAAATCCTCACTCCCTATGATCAGCCCCACATCATGGGCCTAAGTATGATCATAAAATTCCCTCAGTGCCTTTTCTCAGTGAATTCCTGCAGAATCAAGCTGACCTGTGCCATCATCCAACAATTCATGTTATTGTATCCTGGTTGACAATCAACAAAATCTTCATCAAATATTAGTGTTGAGAACCAACTTGCTCTACTGGTGAATATATCAGATATTCTTGATCCTTTCTTCAGAACCAGGCTTAACTGTGCCACCTTCACACTCTCTAAAATTAAGAAATGAAGTAGAGATCATCCATCAATTTGCATTATTATAGTCCACAACACCTTGCTTGGTGGTGTCATCCCCACATTCCCAGGTATGGCAGTCTATATGCACATGTGCAGATGTCAAAACAGTTTTGCCTTATATTATCCAAATAATCTCATTTGCCAGAATCATCTCCTCACTCCCCTACATAGCACATGTATAGAAGTTATTACTGTTGTTTCCTTTGCAGCATCTCATCAGAACCAAATAGCCCTCAAACCTCTGCCCAATGGAAGGCCTCTCTGTAATTGCACCAGACATGCATCGAGTTTGCCTGATGATCACCACACTAATTCTCCTGCTTTTGTCATTACTGAACTCTCAGAAGAGATTCTGGACATCTGGCTCATGCACCCACAATTTCTAGAGAGCTCTGCCAGAATCCAGCTTTCTTGTACTCCCAGACCTATCTGGAGAAGCATTCACTGCTCTACCTCTTTGGTTCCTCATAAGATTGGCTATGAGAGCCATTCCTATATTTTGAAGTATTGCCTAGCCTTTGTGTTGCAGCACTAGGTTTCCTTCGTCACTTCTCACAGACTCAATGCCACCTGAACTGTCTATATCTCTGTGTCTAATGTTCTCACTTGCACAGTTCATGGAAATCTTGTCAACAGAAAGTCTCTGTGGGTTTCACCAGCCCTATCTTGACAAATTTGCCTCATAATCTTCTTTGGACACTTTGGGTCACTGATAGGATCTGGCAGTCTGTCTGATATTATCAACCTTTAAGTTTACATTTTAAATGCCATGTTCTGCAGGTCTCTGAAGTATTAGAGGTTTGTCTGCCTTAAGCTTAACTATTGAAAGTATAAACTTTATTAACCTTTATTAACACTTGGGAGATGATGCCCCTTTCCCCTTCTCTGGGGAAACATGAATGTCTCTCTTAGGGTCCTCCTTATTTCCTAGCTTCTCTGAAGGTGTTGGTTGTAGGCTGGTAATGCATTGCTCTATGTCTAATATCCATATATGAGTGAGTACATCATATGTTTCTCTTTCTGTGTCTGGGTTACCTCACATAGGATGGAATGTTGGCGTAAGGTAGGAGGACTGGGCAGTCTATGTGGCCTCTGGGAGTGTAGCCAGCATTTATCCCTTGTGAATAAATGGACTTTGGGCACCCATTTCACTAGGAGGGATACTCTCCAAGGCTAGCCACATGTTAAGAGAAGGGCATAGGCCCTTGCCCATATAATGTGACAGACTTTGATTATCCCATGAGAGGCATCACTTCCCATGGGGAGTTGATGGTATATATATTGCTTCACAGTCTTCCCTACAGGTCAATCAGACACATTCTCTAAGTGAAGGTTTCCTCCTTCCAGATGACCCAAGCTTATGGATCATGTCAAGTTGGAAAATTACTAATTAACACAGCTTATTACTCACACACTTCACAAAAATGCATCACTATGAAGTCATAAACTTTCCTTCCTAGGTCATCCTCCATATATCAATTAATCTTGTGGTAATTAATGTTACATAATTTTCCAGGTGGTGTTGGCACACATCTTTAATACCATCACTCAGAAGACAAAAGTAGGCAGATCTCTGTGAAATAACGGCCAGGCTATTCTGCAGAATGAGTTCCAGGAGAGGCTCCACTGATACACAGAGAAGCCATGTCTCAAAAAATAAAATTAAAAAAACAAAGCCATAATTTTTAAAAATGAAACATTTGAAATTTTCATTGTCTTTAAAATAATTACTGCCTCTTCAAATGTCCATAGTCTATCATCTCTTGTCTCCTGTAAAAATATATAAACATAAAATCAAAATCAGGTAAATACATTCTTTGACAAAGAGGGAAAAAGAAGCTCAGCCTTATGATCAAACCAAAGAAAAAAACAAACTATAAAATGGTAAACCATGCAGTATCCTATGTATAGGATTCACTTAAAATCTTCTGAGATTTAAAGAGCTCAGGCAACTCTGGCTCCATCATAAGTAACACAGGAAGTTTGTCATATAGGTTTAGTCAAGGTTCACTCTAGACCTGCAGCTGCTCTGTTGCCTATAAGCTTGTCCTTGTTTCTCAACTAAATGGCAGTCTGAATAGCTAGTGAGGTTGTACCTTTTCCAGTAGTCTCTCCTCAGATTGCTTCAGGGTTTTAGATCCTACCTAATGGTACCAAGGCACATCTTCTATCCATGCCACTTTTAATCTTTCTCTTCCACTGCAAGTGAGGCTGCTCCTTCTAAAACAAACTCTCGTGGCCTCTCAGAGAGGCAAACCTCATATCTGCAGCAATGTACATTGAGATCCAAAGAAACATATTGACCAGAGCCATTTCCATGCTCCCATGCCTGGTAATGTTTATCTGTTTCTGGAATAACAGCTCCTCATGAGTTACCCTCTACTAATGAATTTATCCACAGAATACTCACTGCCAGTGATAAATATCCTACAAAAGGGTACATCTTCCACAACAAACTTACAGAATTGGAACAAACTGCATACTCCATGGCCTGTCTTTCTACTGCAAAAACAAAGATGCCAGCCCATTGCTACTGCCCTAGGTTTTCCTCTGGTTTCAAAGATATCTCTGTAGTGATGAACTTTGAGAGGCATTCAGAACCGAGCAACAACCTTGTATTCATTATCAGAGCACTTGTCACACAGTCCAGGTTGAGTGAGCCTCCCTCTTTGTGGGATGTGCACCCAAAGTCCATTTGTATGCCAGGGATAAATACTGAACTACTATACATTCCTCATAGTGTGCATAGGACTCCTCCTTGACACCCATATTCAGGGGGTCAGGATCAGTCTCATGCTGGCCTCCCAGCCATCAGTTTTGTGGTCCAAGTGTTCCCAATTGTTCAGGACAGCTGTTTCTCTGGGTTAAATAAGCCTAGTCTTGACCCCTTTGCTCATCAGTCCTCCCTGTCTGTCACTGGATTCCAGGAGTTCAGTAGAGTGTTTAGCTGTGGGTGTCTGACTCTGCTTCCATCAGCTTCTGGATGAAGGCTCTAGGATGGCATATAAGGAAGTCATCATACTCATTATCACAGAGGGGCATATAAGGTAGTTTCTCCACTATTGCTTAGTTTGCCAGTTAGTGTCATCCTTGTAGATCTCTGGAATCCTCAGTAGTGCCAGATCTTTCCTCAAATCTATAATAACTCCCTCTATTATGGCATCTCTTGTCCTGCACTCCTCTATTCTTCCCCCAACTCAATCTTCCTGCTCCTCATGTCCTCCTGTCCCCTCTTCTTCCATTCTCTCTTTATCCCAGCTCCCTCTCCCCTCCCAGCCCATGCTCCCAATCTCCTCAGGAGATCTTTCCTCATTCCACTTCTGCTGGGTACTATGCATATCTCTTAGGGTCCTATCTGTTTCCCAGACTCTCTGGCAGAGAGATTTGTGGGCTGGCATGCCCCTGATCCATGTCTAAATCCATACATGAGTGAGGACATACCATGTTTTCCTTTTTGTGACTGGCTTACCTCACTAGGGATGGTATCTTCTAGTGCCGTTTATTTGCCAGCCAATCTCAATATTCCACTTTTTTTCTACTGAGTAGTTCTCCATTGGGTAAATGTACTAAATTTTCTCTATCCACTCTTTAGTTAAGGGGCTTCTAGGTTGCTTCCCGGTTCTGGCTATTACAAATAATGCTGCTAAGAATATAGTGGAACACATGTGTATGTAGCATGAATATGCATCTTTTTGGTATATGCCTAAGAGTGGAATTACTGGGTCTTATGGTAGACTGATTCCCATTTTCCTGAGGAATCTCAATTCTGATTTGCAAAGTGACTGTATGAGTTGTCACTGCCAGTGGAGAATTGTTCTCCTTTCTTCAAATCCTCTCCAGAATAAACGGTCATTGGTGTTTTATTTTAGCCATTCTGACAGGAGAAATATGGTATCTCAGAGTTGTTTTTTTTCTTCTCAATTTCAGGAGTTCCCAGTGGTTATCTGTTGATCTCCTTGTCTCTGCTACTGGTTTTATTTTCAGGAAGCAGTCTACTGTGTCAATTCCATTCCATGGTCCTTCCTACATTCTCTTCTAGAGTTTCAGTTGTTGCCTGATTTTTACTCTTTAGCTCTTTTGGTTCTTTGGTCTTTGGAAGGCCCACCAATCAGAATCCAAATCATGATGCTTATTCTTACCTATTTACGCCAGGCCTTAGTTGTTATATTTCTAGCCATCTATTCTTACTTATTATCCTGATTACCTTTTCCTCTGGGATTGTTCCTATTCTTTCTTCTGTGTGCCTTACTTTCACTCTTATTCCATACCTTGCTTCACAGTTAAACAAATGCAACATAAAAGAATGCAGAAGCCAGGTGGTGGTGGCGCACGCCTTTAATCCCAGCATTCGGGAGGCAGAGGCAGGTGTATCTCTGTGAGTTCGAGGCCAGGCTGGACCGACAGCCTCCAAAACAATACAGAGAAACCCTGTCTTGCAAAACTAAAAAAAATGCAGAAGAACTTTGCAACATTAAAACAAATGCTACAAAGCGTAATCAAATGAAATACATCTCAAAATAATATTGTACAACAAATAAGTATGTGCCTTAGTGAAGAGACACTGTGACCATGGCATGTTTTATAAGGACAGTATTTAATGAGATGTCATGCTTACAGTTTCAGAGATTCAATCCATCAACACCATGGTGTAGAGCATGGCAGAAAGTATGGCAACGTGCAGACTGACAAGGTGCTGGCTAAATCTGGATCACGGGGCAACAGAAGGCAGCTGAGACACTGGGCAGTACACTGATCACTGGAAACCTCAAAATCTGCACCCACAGAGAAACACTTCCTCCTATAAGGCCATACCCACTCCAAAAATTCACACCTCTTAATATTACCAGTACCAATGAGATTATGTAGACCAGGTACATTTAAACAACCACATTCCACTCCCTGACACACATAAGCTTATAAAAATCACACGATTCAAAATGTATTTATTCTAACTTTAAAAATACAGTCCCAAAATGTGTTAAAGTCACAGGTTAAGAGTCTCTTCTAATATTCATGGAATCTCTTTCTGTAATCACTTCTAATAATCAAAAGACATATAATATACTTCCAAAATAGAATGGCCCATGCTATACATGTCCATTACAAAATGCAGGGAAAGGAGCATAGCAAGGAAATACTGGAAGGAAGGAAGTTAGAACACGAGCTGGCAAAATCCAAAACCTTTAACTCAACATCTGATATCAAAACACTCTTCAGATCTCCAATTATGTTTAACTTTGTATTCTGCAACATGCTTCTTTCCCTGGGGATGTTTCTACTCATTGCTTGCAGCTCTCCTTTGCAGGTGTCACATGACTTTGGCATCTATAGCATCTTAGAATTACCTAGCCAATACATGTTTCAACTTCACAGCTTCATGAAATGGTTTTTCTAGGCCCCTATGAGTGCCAATCCTGAAACATGCTTGGCCTCAGTTGCTTTCCGTAAGGACAAATTATGCAGCCTGTTTTATTTTATCTTTAATCACAGAATCACGTGGCTGAAACTGGCAAGTCCTGCTGCTTGCTGGGGCTGGAAAATGGCCACTGATTCTCTTATATCTTCAACAACATTCTGTTCTTCATTGTATAAGCTAGGCTATCCTTAAACTGGATCTCAACACTAGACTGGCCTGGAACTCAAATCAGTCAGACTCTGCTTCAGGAGTGCTGGGATTAAAGGCTTCCACCAACACAGAAGACTATAAACTCTTCTTTAATTTTTTATTTCACAAACTGGAAACTTAGCTTCGTTGGATCTTGCCCCTAAGCCATCATAAACTTTTTGCCATTTATTATGTGCTTATCTCTATTGAACACATAATTTGTATCCATTCCACCTTCTGGTGCTCTTTCTTCCATCCAGTATTTTTCCTTTCTTGGCTTGTTCCTTGTCCTTATGTAGACACGTTAGTAAGAGATACCACTGGTAACCAAAAAGGAGAGCACACACTAGGCTGATTTAAGATTGATTCCGTTGAAGATATTAATCTATACATCTCCAATTTACCCTCAGACAGTCTCAATGAACAAAAAAGCAGCCAGGTTTTCACTAATATGTGCAAGAACTATCTATCTGTGTACAATATACTAAAATTCTTCTCCTCTAGCTGTTCCGGATCACGTACAACAGGATCCAGCATAGGGTCCAGGGGACCAGGTAGGAGGCTAAGCGCCCCAGATTCCTGTTCTTCTTCTCCACCCACGGGACCAGCATTTGGACAAGGAATAGAAGAACCACCAGATTATTGGACTTGCTAGCACCCACCAAAAGGGAACGCTGGTCCCCAGACCAGTAAGGGGCTCTTTCTGCACCCATTAGAAGAAGAGATGGGAAAGAGACAATACAAAAACACAGTCAGCAACAGAAAAACAAATATGACACCACCAGATTCTAGAGACTCCACACCAGCAAGACCCCAACATTCCAATGCGAACGAAGCAGAAGAGAACGACCTTGAAAGCACTTTCATGAAAATGATAGAGGCCCTAAAAGAGGATATTGGAAAATCCCTCAAAGAAAAGGAAGAGAAAACAAACCAAAAAATGCAAGAAATGGAAGAAAAAACGAACCAAAAAATGGAAGAATTGGAAGAAAAAACAAACCAAAAAAGGCTGGAAATGGAAGAAGAAATGAAGCAAAAAATGCAAGAAATGGAAGAAAAAACAAAGCAAAAAATGCAAGAATTGGAAGAAGAAACATACCAAAAAAGGCAGGAAATGGAAGAAGAAACAAAGCAAAAAATGCAAGAAATGGTAGAAAAAACAAAG